TATATTTCTTTACTATTTTGAAAAAAAAAAAAAAAAAAAAAAAACTTCTTTCTTGAAAGATGTTAGAATTTTTAGAATAGAATTTTTTTTTCTAAAAGAAAAAGAAATTTCTTACGAAACAAAAGAAAAGGGGAATGAAAGTCAGGCATATCCTCCACTCCCCCCTCAAAAAATTTCTTTTTGCTTGTTTGCTGATCAGAGAGTATTTTTCCCTCATTATATGTTTGTGGTTTAGACAAAATATAATATACATCCATTGACAATTATAAGCAATTTTTCTCTCTCATTACCGCGCGCCTTCGTGATGTAATTGGAAAGCACATCGGGCTAGCAGTCGGGGGATCCAGAGTTCGAATCCTGGTGAGGGCATCTCAGTTTCATCATGTTGCCTGTTTTCAAAAACCTACTGTTTATACATGATAAGAGTTATAGAAGCAAACAAACACGAAAAGAAAATGTTTAAATGCATACTTATTCATTTTAGTTTTTGTTAGGGTAAAATGTATTTAATGCACAATAATATACCTATAGAATAAGTTATTTTATTTTCTTGTAAAGTATGCTGAAATTACTTTGCTTACAGAGTTTCATTATAGTTAAGAGTTTCAGAGAGCTCCGAAAATGATTGCTTGTTAAATTACTTATTATAAGGTACTATAATAACTAAGATTTCAAAGCTATTAAAGATAATTACTGTTTAAAAACGTATTAAATATTTTTGAGCATATCTGACGGAAAAGTTTCAGTCAAATTCTAATAATCATTTCGTACACTTTTAATTTTTCTCTCAGCTTTATTGTCTCGCGTATATAATATAGGTGATTAATTTTCCAAAAAATACTCTTATAGTCCCCTAACAAGTAAGAAGATGTTGGTAAATATTATTATGTTTAATTAAAATGGTGATTTTATATCAATATACTTCTGAACATGTCTCCAGAGAACAAAAGTAGACAAAACTCCAGTGGTATAGCTAGAAATTTTGAGTCCTTAAGCAAAACTTAAAATAAGTATAATATATATATGTATTAAGTTTCAAATTTCTTTCTTTATGTTTTTACTGATTATATATATACATATTAATATTTATAATACATATATTATATATATAATATATATATATAATTATTATATAAATATTATATATAATTATAATTATTATAAATTATAATACAGATAATATATATATAATTATAATTTGCATTAGCAATAATCCTTAATTCTCCCTCTTTAAAAAATAGTAATAACGTTTCCGAACTGCATCGTTTATATATCTATCTATGTCACATAGCTTCTGTAACGTTGATGACATATCTAATTCGGAATCTAAACTCAAAATTTCGAGATGTGAAATTTTCTCTTAATAAGCAACATAAACCGAAACGTTCTGTTGAGCCCCCATATTGTATTAACTGCGCACTTAGTATCTACCTCTCTTGTCGTTAAGGTGCTAGATCGCTCACTTAGCCTGTGCCAGCTATTTTCCATTGTTCTAAACATATAATCTGTATAAAATTGTGGGGGTGCATAGCGCAGCCACAATGATGACATGCAGCAAAAAAGGATATGTGTTCTCAGAATTATTTATCCAAGAATAAAATCATGTGTGGAATTTATGGCTACGTCTGTCTTCAAGCTTTCGTAGAAGCAAAAAGAGTCTATTATGTTTTTCAGGTCCATTTTGTTTGCCTCTTTATGTTCAATAGAAAGATAGTTTAATCCTGTTTGTTCATTCATATTTCTTCTGCACTCTTTAATGATTTTTAGCCTTGAAATCATCTTTCTACTGTACTATATGTTACAGAAATGTTTAAAAATGATAAGAAGACTGCATACTTTCCATAGAAGTCGCATTCCAGTGAATGGCATTATTTTATCATTAAGTTCCCAAATTTTGGAATTACCATATTTTCATTAATTTTATTAAAATTTTGAATTGCCATATTTTCATTGCCCCTATATTGTATTAACTGTGCACTTTACACAGGTGTAGTCTCTCTTTACACAAGTGACTTGCACAGGTGTAAGCCATCTTTACACAGGTGTAGTGCGTATGTAACATGTAATATATAATATTTAATGTGTTTCTTGTGTTTTTATAAAGTTGTCTATAAAACGTTTTACTGGTTTCTATGGAGCATTTTTAGCAGGGTTGTTATAATTATTTTAATATTTCTTACGTTTAAATTTTACTTTCCAACCAAGCGTTAATCAAGCAGTTCTTGAGCATCTGCTTAAGCGTCTGCGGTCTGAAAATTTGCTGACCTAACTCTAGTACACAGAGAAGTATAGCATGAGAGCGCTTAGCTGCCTCCTTCGTTGGCTCCTTCGTCTTCATGCTCAGTCTAACCAAAACTAGCCCATTTGGTTTCTGACAGAAATTGTTTGCTATGCTTAAATACAATTTTACGCTCAATAATAATAATAATAATAATAATAATAATAATAAAAAAACACGGGAAAAACAAATGCTAAAGTGATGATCTCGAAAACAAGAGGATAGTTTCGGTTAGATTGCTTATGCGGATTTGATGACAATGCTATTATACTGCAGACGGAGCCAAAGTAAAAAGAATTCTCATTACGCAGCATTGCGTTTACGACAAAGAAGATAGGCTGCTGCAGCATTCAGTTTTATGCCTAATTTTTATATTACTCGAAAAGAAAATATATATCTCTTTTACAATTAATAGCATAAGTTATTCTTAAAATTTTAAATTAAATCTGTACGTATAAAGTATCAAAGATGGATTCGGCAACAAATTTACTAATTTATCATTACTTTTCGAATATTCAAAAATCAAAAGGTAGTGGGCCCTCAAATGGCTTGGGCCATTAGGCATTGCTTAATTTTGCCTATCTACAGCTACGCGATTACAAGTGCTATTCATTATTTGAAAGAATGCTTAATTTTTAGGAAAAGTAAGATATAGATAAATAAATTGGTAATAAATAGAGTGATAGATAACAAAAAGAACAAAACTTTAAAACTTTCAACTTTCATAGATTAAGGTTAATTAGTAATTTATATATATATTAAAGTATAATTTAAGCGATTGTTTTCAGTTGTTAGAAAATGTAACAAACAAAGCGAAAAAGACAATTCAATGTAAAATATAACCCACTAATACTATATGTATGTATCCATATATACAAAATTCCATATATGATTTTGTTTGAGAATCTGTGGGTTTCCAAATAATTTATAAACATCGATATTTAAATAAAATGGTGTTATGTAATTAAATATACGGGAAGTTTTGCAGTGCATGCTAAATTTTAGTTCAATGATATGTTAATCATATTTCAAATAAAATCTTTCTTATCTTATGAAAATAGTCAAATTACATATATCGATATGGTTTCTATGAGCTTCAATAATTAAGCAATATGTTTCGTATATTAATACAAGTCGCTGTCGAAATTTACAAAAATTTCCAGAATGAAGTTTCATAAACTATCTTTATTAGGAACTTTCATTCGAAGTGTTCTTCATGCGGTTCCCATATGCATTTTCATACGGAATGTTTCCACGCAAAGTACAGCTCAGAAACCTTTAAAAAATTTAGAAAATTTAATTCATTAGAAAATTTCTAAAAAAAGCAAAGATATTTAAATAATAGCGATTTCAGTCGAGAAAGAGTACAACCATTCCAATCAGAGAATGCAGAGTGTTAGAAAAATATTGCACGATTTAATATCTCTTATAGATTAGGTCAATAAATCATGTTTCTGGTTAGCGGAATCAGATAAGACTTTCTAATTGTAGCACTCTTGATCCCGAGAGGCGTTTTGGTAACAATACATTTAGCAGAACTATACATAACGAGACGGGCATAGTATAGGAAAAACAAAATCACTGAAAAATATGTGTTTCATAAAAGAATTACTCAAATAAAAAATATTCATCCTCTCATCCTCATAAGATCAAAATTCTAAGAGTCAAGAGTAATTAAAATTTGAAGGCACGTATATACAAATTAAAGATAGATATGCAAATGAATTTCTAGATGCTAATATTTCTAACAGACAGCTTTAGGTCAGACAAATCTAAAATCTCTGGTAGAAATGTTTTGCGAATCTTTTCAAAACGACCCTCTAAAGAGAGTTTAGGAAAATAGTACGCAAGTGATAGGCTTCTGACTAATTGATAACAAAGGCCACACATACAAAACTTGGATACCTAAACTCTTGAAGTATCTAAACAGGTATGTAGCAATATACTCAGCTCTGGTCGGATTTCTCGGTACCAGTATAGTAAACTGCCACGCCTGAGTCGACCACTGTAGAAACGATGGTTCTAGTCCTGCGAAGGTAGCTATATCCCCGTTGCCAGCAGCTGCTAAACGCAGCATCAGACTAATTCTTTGGAGTTTATGGTAAACAATAAACCTATTTATTCTGGTTCTAGTGGCTGCTGTCTGGGGATTTCTTCTTTTTTAATACAATCATATAGCGACCTTCCGAAAAGGTTGTATACGCCTGATAATCTTATCATTCGCAAGGACAAATTTTTCTTTTACTGCAAAACTATGTCCATGTTTTGCAGTAAAAGAAACATTTTTTGACCTGATTGTGGTCTGACACCCTTCCTAATATGGATCACTCTCCACGGATTTTTTATCTAATTATTGTCGTAACAAAGTATTTTTAACATTATTCTAATTTTCACTACCTTCAAATAACCTCTGAGAGCAAGAAGATGGAGCAAGTCTTGATACATATCTTTTTAAGATATCTTTATATTTTCAGATTTCTGTGCAATAACTGATGCGAATTCATGTGCTTGTTTCCTTCATATTCAGATTTGCGTATGCATAGATATAAAAAATATATGGATTGAATTTACAGCCAACCCCGATTTAAATTCTATCTCCTTAACTGATCCATTAATATTGCACTGCACTATTTAAACCTCTTGCACATCAAATTTAAATTCTCAAAATTTCGGGGTTATGTAGTACCCTGAATGGTTTTGAAGAATATTTAGCTATACTTACGTGAGGTTCTCCAGGAATATGATTAGCTTCCTCGTGTTCTAAGAGCACTTCCACAGCTTCAACGTACTCTTCGCTGATGGCATGAAGAAGGGCGTCTTTCGTATCGACCTTGTTTTCTATCAGCAGCTCAACCATTTCCAGATTTTCATTGTCGATAGCCATCAGAAGAGCCGATCTTCCCAGAGGGTCTACGCAGTTCACATTTAGACCTGTCTGAGGACGACTCTGAAGGTGCCTAAAAGTAACAAACGTCATTAAATACACTTCACTTTCTTCTTTGGAATGTTTCTTTACTTAACCATGGCATTGTTTTAAACGCAAAAGCTGTATAATTTTCAACTGGGTAAGGAATATAGGCAATAAAATAAAGCACATCATTTTATAAAATTTAGCAATGTATTTTTAAGCAAGTAAAACAAATTATAATCACAACTGTAATTTATCACATTTTTACTGAAACATTTTCAAGGGATCAACTGCTATTACTCAGATTAACAAAATAGCATAGACTTCAAAAGTTTAGTTGCTTTTGTAATTAAATGAACAACTTTATCGGAAAAACAAGTAAGAAATAAGTAACTATATGTTTGTTTATTTCTTCATCTTTATGTATGTATTATTAAAAAAAAAGACCTTCTAACTATCGACTATGCTCAGTAACAGTTTGGAGCTGAATTCCAAGCTTTGTCATAGTTTTGTACAGTGCGTGAAACTGAGGTTTTCCTCAAATTTTTATCAATGGAAGTTTGTTCATGAAAAGTATATAGTTGATAGCATTTTCAGCTACACATTTAATTTGAGTATTCAAAATAACTTGAGTAAACAACGAAACATTTTTGTTTTACGGATGAAAATCAATAAGAGAAATGAGGTTTCACCATTAGTATAATAAAATAAATAACGAAATTAGAATTTTATGCTGCTCACATGCAAATTCAAGAATAAATTGTACTTAATAAAATGAAGAACAAAATATGGAAAGTGATAAATAGGCGGAAACTCTTCATTACTTTTCATGTCAGTTATGGAACGTGTTAAAATAAAAATAGGTGCGCGATAAAACATGACGCCGAATTTAAAAAAACGAGAGGGGAAAAACGGTTCAAAAAGGAAAAACCGACGGAAGACAATTTTTTCCTAACAATGGAATAAACTGAGTTTTCTACCGAGTATTTCTAAGGAAAATGTCGATTTTTTACGACCTGGTATTACATAAAACACATTCCACGTGGGTATGTTCATAAAAGAAGCCAAACTACAAGTAATAAAATGTTTCTTCGGTGAAATAACAAAAACACCCAAAAGCACTTCAATCGTCAAATAAACTGAGAACACAACCTACAAAGCAAAATGCAACTTGAAAGATTTTCTTACGTGAAGACGTAAAAGACACAATATCTCATACTCGCAATATATTCTTCGCTGAGGTTGTCAACGGAATGGTTCCTGCCTGTATATGTCTGAACGAGTTCTTTTTTTTTATTATTTCTGTCTTGAAAGAGGTTTTCAATTTGCTATCTATTTTACGACGGCGTCAGTCTACCACGCTTCCATAATATCGTCTGAAATTTTTCTGTTTTACCTTGATGGATATACTAGATCTACTTATCAATGAAAGTACAAAATTGATAGATAGTAAAGGAATTTAGAATGAAACCTGGGTAATGTCAAACTTCGGAAACATACCGCATAATAATTTCAAGGTTATGTTAAGAATTGTAAAAGATGAAGCTTTTTACATGTCATGAATGCTACTTAAAACGGACTTAGAATATTTTGTTCACATTTATATGCGAAAAGATAAAATTAAGTATTGCAGACAGATTTGGAAGAAAGCTTATGTTTGAGTTTTTACTATGAGTTCGGATTTTACTCTCCTTTCAAACCTTTGCAAATGAATTTTCAAATTTAAAACTGGAAAAATGCTATTTGAAATTATTTTCGAGTTTAAAATTGACAAAAATACTGTGTGAAGTTAAAATAATATTAAATTTCAGAATAGTTTTTATTATTTCCCATGATGCTATACGTAAATAAAGCATTTATGCATGTGTATATGAATTCAGTTAAAGAGAAAAGTGCTAAGAGACTGATGTTATATATACAACAAAATCCGAGCTCAACTGACGAATAACAGGAGATAATTCAAGATGATCAGACCAATTTCTTAAATAACCATAATATAGTGGCTTATACATGAATACCAAAATGATATACTAAAGTTAAATAAAATGAAAATTGACTAGTTAAGATCCTATGAAAAGCAGGTACTGGTTCCACAGCTTCACGAGAACAGACCATTTTCTTATAGTCATTTGCTGTGGCCGCTACAAGGGCCCGAAGTGGTAGCGATTTAATTATCGAAGCACCTAACAGGTGGTCACCATTGCCTCCTATGAAGGAACGAACAGTTATAACCATGCCTTCTCTGGGATTCGGACCCGGGACCATCGCTACGGCAGTCAGGATCACTATTAGTGTTATACCGGGCGTTATGCCGGGCGGCTACATAGCAAAACATAAAATGTTAAAAAAATCTGTACTTTATATTAATAAGTAAGATAATTATAAGTAAGATAAACAATATTTATCTCAACAGATAAATATCTTACTTAAATAACACATGGTATTACTAGATATAAATATGTATGCAAGAAATATATCAATTAAATCAGACAATAGTGTAAATCATTGGTTCTCAACGGGAGCGGTACCGCCTTCCCAGGCGGCAGTGGAAGGATGCTGAGGGGCGAAGAACTTGTTTTGGTCAGCAGGGGGGTGGCAAGCATGCTTTGGCATTCGAACTTAATTTAAAAACTCCCCCAAAATTTAAATCGATTATTAGATTTACACTATATGTACCAGCCATAAAACGAACTTACGCGGTGGCTCTCCTCATGCAGTTATAAGAATGGTGAGACGAATCTGCAAAATATTCATCCCGACAAAAATAAATAAATAAATAAAGCTTTGTCATTTTTCCCGAGCATCGGAGCCAAGTTTTTGAAGGTACTGTTTGTCTCAGGGTTACTAGCAACCTTATCAAAAAATGCGACAATGGTTTGATAGTCTGTTATAATGTATCAAAATTAATTGTTAAATCGGGGAAAGCTCATACCATGGGCAAAGAGTTGATACAAAAAAGAGAAGTCGACTCCAAATCGTGGAAATAGGGAACATGCGCCTTCATTTCTCTAAAATTATTGAACCGAACGTTCAGAAACTGGCTTTGAACCATAAGCACAGACATCCCACTGATCATACTTCATTGTTTCATTGATATTATTCTTTTAGTGTATTTTTTTGTTCTTTTTAAATTATTTTGTAGAGACATTTTGCATTTTTTGAAAGCAGGAGAGATGAAAGTGAGTAATGCCCCCGCGGGTATTCGAACCACGGACCTCTCGAATACGCGCTGAGCGTGCTGGCCACCTGCTAAAAAGGTGGGAGAAATACCTTATAATTTAATTAAGCATAAAGAATTTTTAAACATAAAACCTCGCTTAAGCACTTTTTCTGGCATCAGTCATTTCACTTTTAGCAAAAGGAATGCAATTATCTTCCAGGCAAAATTATCGAGTTAAATACAAAAATTTGGTGTGTAAGTCTATTGAAAAAACATTTAGAATTTTTGCTTTTATAATTCAAGAGCCCCCTTTCCCATACCTCAATTACAGGGTTTTCACAAAGGGAGCTTTGAAAAATGGTTCGCTCCCTAGGGAAGCGGCAGCTTCCAAAAGGTTGAGAACCACTGATTTAAATGAATTACCTAAAATTTGACATTTTAGGTAATTCATTTAAACCAACAAAAATCCATTATTAAACAAGATTCATCTAAACTAACAAACATCCATTATTAAACAAGATTCCATCTAAACATATAAGCATAATACAGATTGCGCACGAAATCTATAAAGCTAAATATCGCAGGTAAAGTAGTATAGTATTTTCCTGATGTGTACCATGGGTGTTCTCATATCTAAGTACACATCATGATTATTTATAAGTATATTAGCATTCCCAGTTCCTTACGTTCAACAGCATCTGTTTTCTATTCTTAAAGTGGTGCTATTTTTTTACATTGTTTTTAGTGTGGTTTAGTGTGGCATATGTATGTTGGGCGACATATGTATCTATGGAGGTTGAGAGAGATTGCAAAATGCTTCATATCGCACCTGCATATTTATTCGCATGTTTGGGCACCCTTGAAAGCTTCGTGGCGATTGTCGACGGAATGTTTCAGAGTTTGCTTTGTAAGTGATGACCCAATACAACAGAATCTGCCTGAAAATCAAGGTATAAAAAAGGTCAAGTTTTCATGCTTTTCCCGAAAATGTGTAATTAACAACGTGATTTCTTTTAGAATTAGGAAGATTCTTTTTTAAGTCTATATTTATTTAATTAAATGGCTTATAAATAAGCAGAGTCATTAGAATATAATGAATAATTAAGTTAATAATTCATTATATTCTAATGAATATTTGCTCTTTTTACATCATTACAACAATTAAATACAAGATTTAAATAATCTTTGCATTTCTGATGAATTATTATTGTCTCAGAAACGAATTAGAGTCAAATTTTCTCTCCTCTTTCTTATTTTTTATTTATTTATCTATTTTTTTGGAATAAAGATTCGGAAACCTTGGTATCCTTCATTTTCTAAATTTTATACTTTGAAAAATGTAGAATATCGACGAATTCTACCCGTGCTAAAATTTTCGATATTGGAGATCAGCAGGTGCGTGCTGCATGAGATTGCAGTTTAAAAAGATGATAACTGCATTGGAAATCGATAGTTGTCATTTCTAGCACATGTGTCGCCAATTGCTTTTAAATAGTTTTTCTCCCCAGTCTCTCTAAGAGTTACTAAATATTTTTTCAAAATATTGGTAGACATTTATGATGCTTCGCACTCTAATAGCAGTGTTTTTAGTGCAAATTAATTAGGTCAACATACGGCTGCTGTCAATATTATAAATTATGCTAGATCATCACCAAAGAGAATGACACTTTAAATAGATATAAAATGCTGTTATAATGACTGATGACGTTTGACTATTTTTCAATTTCTCAATGAAAATACTTTAAAAAAATCTATTTTCCCATTTGCACAACCTATTGGCTATATGTATTAAATATGCACACATAAAAATATTAGATTAAGAATTGGTTACCATTTTAATTATCAAAACTTAAGCTATACTTTAATTCTAAAATTTTGTGTGAAATTTG